GTGAACAGTTTAACAAACTGTTATGTGCCCATATCCTTGCATGCTTCTGGATAGTATCCAGCAATAAATGAGAATGAACCATTGACACAAGAAATAACTTGGATGGATCTCAAGGAAATTGGGATGCTGAGTGAAAAATGCCAGTCTCATCAGGTTATGTACTATATGACTTTATTTACATAGCACACTTATATAGCATTCTTGAAATACCAAAATAACAGAGATGAAAACAGATTAGTGGTTTCCAGAAGCTTTGGGGTTGGGGGAAGACAGCGGATCTGGCTACAAATGGGTAGCACATGAGATCCTTGTAATGCAACAATTCTGTGTTGTCTGTGGTCATGATCACATGAACCTACAGATGTGATAGAATTGCATAGAGCTAAAGGCACAAATGCTCACACAAATGAGTTCATATAAAACTGATAAAACCTGAATAAAGTCAATGGATCCTATCAATGTCAGTCTACAGATCATGGTGTTATACTATAGTTATGCAAGATGGAAAATAGTGTAAACAGTTTTCTCTCTGCATTATCTCTTACAACTGCATGTGACTCTACAAGGGTCTCAACGTAATTTGGTTTTAAGTAACTTAAACAATGTAAGAGAAAACACCAGGCCATAATAGGACTTTTTTCACTATTGAAAAATATCTGAATCATTATCATCTAGCTTTGTCTCATCAATGTAGGCTATATAAATATATATACTGAAATTGAATAGCTATATAGCCAATTCTATCATGTCATATCAATATATCCCATGATGCGTGCCCACCTGCCTGCAGTGAGCATGGAACACTGTGGATGGTTCATTGAAACACAAGAAAAACACACACAGAGACAACCAGGTCCTGTGGGGGAATAGGGACAGAATGGCCACCCTCTCTCAAGTGGGGAGAGTGCCCTGTGTCCATACCCAAGCAGATTTTTATTGAGAAAACAGACTTAGTTTGTGGATTCATAGTCTGGCAGAAAAGATCAAAAGATGTAGGCAACAAAGATTGGGACAGAACTCCTGCTGAGATTCTGGGCAAGGGTTGTGGTCTTTAACATATGAAAGGGCTACAGGTTCCAAAAGTTTCCTGCCTGTGCTTTTAAATTCCAAGTTAATAACATCCTCCAGCAAACAGATCTCACAGGATCTTGCATATTCTATGTCCCAGGCCTGATCACCCTGAGGGGTCCGCCATTTCTGGCCTGGGCTGCCCCTGCACGTCTGAGTTAACAGAGAAAACAAAGGCAGCCAGGAGACTTGGATTTCTCACATCTAAAAACAAAGACTCAGGCTTCGACAAAGCCAAGGGGTCAAAGGTTGATGTCCATCACCCCCTCATTTCCACAGCCCTGAGTCTCTTTCCAGAAGCTTCCATGTGATCATGCCTGTCTTAGATGTTTCCCTCCGTGGGAAACCTTACCCATCATTGGCTAACTGATCAAGCTAGGAGGTTTCACCACAGAACAGGCAGCGTTCATGCCAGGGAAATAAGTTTTTGTCTCCTTAGTGGCTCCTGGTCCAGAGGTCTTTCACTCAGTCTAAGTCACGGGGGGTTACAGCTTCCTGAGACCAGGCAGGGTGGCCCCCAACAATCCCAGAAACCACAGGCCCAATAAATAGAAGCTCTGCTGTAAAAGCATTTGTATAATGCTATTGTTGACCTGCTTTATGAGCCTTATGGAAGACATTTTCTACTCCACTCTAGGTAGGACAGAGCCAGAGTCCTGCAGCATATTTCTAACATTCTTCAGTGGATGTCCAGTACTTAATTTCTCCATCTTAGACCCAACTGTGCAAACAGTTATAAATTTACCAATCAGCACAATTACTGAATACATTTTCTCTATAACTATAAGCATGTTAGGTTTGTTTGCTTGTTTGTACTTTCAAATGTCTTATTGAAATCAAGATAGTCTCCATCTACAACATTTTCTAATCTGTTGTTGTCACTGAGGAAAATTTTGAAGAAAATGTGATTAATGTGGCATACCCTGGTCTTACATAATCTATGCTGACTAATATATTCCTCTCTTTCTCTAAAATTATTAAAATACTGAATTTGTTAGGAAATGGTACTCAGTTTTCTAATCTATTTCTTAAGATTTACCTTTACTATGTATTCTGAAAATTGGAACAATGGTAACAGCCTTTATGATGCTCATGGTCCAGGAATGGAAAGACAAAAATGTTCCAGAAGGAAGATAAAATGTAGGTAGGAGTTTTTCTGCCTTAGTCCAGGCACTGGGGGAATTTTAGTTTTCACAGCACAGATAAAATTTAAACACATTTTAAAAATGAATATTTTAATATATGAATAAAGTAAACCCATATCTGTACTATATATATAGTATACATATATATATATATATATATATATTGTTTTGTTTCTTACCTTAATAAATTCAAACTTCTAAGTAACATTTATAAGGCACAGCATATACTTATAACATGGCAATTAAAATGAGAAAAACTTTTGTGTATGAATATAAAAAGATGCCTAAAACATCATATTAAGTAAGATAAATAAAAACAGAACATTTCAAAAATATATACATATATCTATATATACACATATGTGTATATAGTTAAATACAATGATAGTATTTGTACACGTAGAAACCTACAAAATGCATAATAAATTGTTTCAATTTCCTGGATGAGGAGGGATAATGGGCACCTTTATATTCTATTTATTCTTTTAATGTTTGATTTCTTGGTATAAGCTTAATACAGACTGAAAAGGTAATCTGATAAAAAGAGCAGCCATCACACTTTCCAAAAAGCAGAGGATGGTATAGACTGGGACTAGTTTTTGTAAATGTCCTGTTTAGGAGTCTCCTTATTCCTTAACACATCTAACACATAGACTAGGACTTGGAGACTAAGGAATGGTGTTCAACAGAATCTTATATCCCAGCTTCATTAGTTTGTGTTTACTGTTTTCTATAGAGAATGAGACTTTAAATAGGGGTAAATATCATCAAGCCTGAATTTTTAAAATAACTCTCTTTATTTTTATCCTTTATTATGGCACTTCTGTCCATCTTGGAGCTATACTTTTATATTTTGAGATCACGCAAGCCACACTCATTTTTTTAAATGTCACTTTTCTGCCAGTTCTTTATGATTCTCATTGGAATGCTTACAATTGTGGGGTAAGAACCCTGCTCCTGAGAGCTACCCTTTTCTCTTGAGCCCTGTTTCCTTCAGAGTATAGTTAGCTTTGTGCCCAGTAGCTTTTCTCTGGACATTTTGAAATCTTGTCTCCTCTAAATCATGAGTTCGTAGTCAATTCTGCCTCTCTTTTCTCTGCTTCTCTAGTTTCTAAGGTAAAATAGCCACTTTCCTATTTTCTATCATTTACTCTTCCTTAACCAGTTTTTTCTTTTTGTCCAAGTAAATCCAAAGTAGGTTTTTAACATTAATTCTTCTAATTCCCAGGGCCCAGCCCCCTCACTGGCCATGACTGCAGAGCTAAGAAAACTGATGCACAAAAGAAGCTCTATGATCATATCATTTGAAGTTTGAAGACCCAGAGCCATATTTCAAATCAGGATGACTCAGCTTGCAATAGGATGACTCACAAGGTGAGAGAATGGCTGGAAGGGTATGTGGGTAAGAAGCATTTTCTTCTCTGAGCTAACTTTTCTGTTAAGTGAGTGAACCCTCTTCGAGAAGGTAGGCAAAGATACAGAAAAGGAATTACATATTCTTTCTAAAAAATTAAGTTAAATCCAAGACTACTTCTTGTCTTTACCTCAAACTCCAATCTTTGAAAAAGACCAAATTAATATCTACTTACAACATAATGTGAAGTTCAGCATTTTAATAGGAGTTGATTTAGTTATCTAAATCCTGCTAGTCTTATCATTTTGAGTCTTTTTTTACCCTATAAAACACAAGCTGGGGAAGATTTCAGTGGGATATTTCTCTCTGCTCTCTCTGCCCTACAATTGTTAACCATCCCCACTACCACCATTGCTAAATGTGAATATTATAGCAAGAAGGAAACATTAGGTAAACTAATTTGCCCATGTACAATTGGGTCATGTTAAAGCTGCCAGAAGACAGCCCTGCCTGCCCCATGCAAACTTCAGGAAATGAGTGGAAATCTATGAAACATCACTAAAACTCTGAGCTAGAATTCCTATCAGCATGATTGCTATGTCCTCCCACAACTTGAGGCCTCATCAGGTAATAAAGAAAAGTCATAAAGAGAATCTTTATGTACGCTGACGCTGCGTCCATAGTAGCCAAGGAGATGGCTTTTGAAAATGCCAATACCGCCTTCCAGGCTGCCATGAGACCGTGGAAGGGTCGCGCTACCTTAAATGATTATATCAAGTTGTGCGCCGACATTGGGCCTGGGTATGTTCAGGGCCTTACTATAGCTGCAGCCTTAAAGGGACAGACAGTTAATGAGTTCTTGGCTTCTAGAAGAGACAACAAGAGAAGGAAGCCCGGACCGCCTGGGAGCTGCTATAATTGTGGGAAGCTCGGCCACATTGCTCGGCAATGCAGAGGAGGTACCTCTCAGAATTCAGGTTTCGCACAGCCAGCTTCGGCCCGGGCTCCTAGTTTATGTCCCCGATGCAAAAGAGGCAATCATTGGGCCAATGAGTGTCATTCTAAGAGAGATAGAGAGGGGAACATCCTCCCGGCGCAGGGAAACGGGAGGAGGGGGCCAGCCTCGGGCCCCCGCAGCAAATATACGGGGCAATGAGCAATCCCGTGCTGGATTCACCTCCAGTATCCAGCGGCCAGACGTTTCCCAGCTTAAGCGAGCCACCCCCAGGGAGCGCCGGCTTGGACCTCTGCCTCTCCCAGCATGTAACCTTGACCCCTGAGATGGGCATGCAGGCTCTACCTACTGGCACATATGGGCCTTTGCCAGAGGGCACGGTCGGGTTACTTTTTAGGAAGAAGCGGTTTTACCATGAGGGGACTTTTTTGTAGCTCCGGGAATAATCGATTCTGATTATACGGGAGAAATAAAGGTTATGGCAAAAACAGAAAAAGTGATTATTAACCTACCCTCTGGCACCAGGATTGGACAACTTGTTCTGCTTCCTTATCAAACTTTTGGACAGCCCTCCCTACAGGAGAAGGGCCGTGGATCCTCTGGATTTGGATCCACTGATGCATTTTTGATGAGGGCCATTAAATTAGACCGACCGGAGTGTCAGCTCCGAATCAATGGAAAGGACTTTAGAGGCATTTTAGACACTGGAGCCGATGTATCGGTAATCTCTCTAAAGCACTGGCCTGAATCTTGGCCTATGCACCCAACTACTACAACCCTCCAAGGGGGTTGGACAATCCTCCTCCCCCCTACCAGAGTGCCTCCTTGCTTAATTGGTCTCATGAGGAAGGCTCCTCTGGGACCTTCCAGCCTTTCATTCTTCCCCCATCTTCCAGTGAATTTATGGGGAAGAGATGTTATGGAAGGTATGGGCTTAGTTTTGTGGCAACCAGGAACTCCGTTACAGTCTTTTTTCTTAGCGGCCACGGTCTCTCCTGCTTCATATGCGGATCCTATAGCATGGAAGGATAATACACCCATATGGGTAGATCAGTGGCCGCTTTCCAAAGAGAAACTTTCTGCCGCGCAACGGCTGGTGCAGGAGCAGCTAGCGGCTGACCATATTGAACCTTCTACTTCCCCCTGGAATTCACCTATCTTTGTCATTAAGAAAAAATCAGGGAAGTGGAGACTTTTGCAAGATTTAAGAAAAGTGAATGCCTCCATGCACCCTATGGGGGCCTTGCAACCTGGTCTGCCTTCGCCCGCCGGGATTCCCCCGGGCACTTATAAAATTGTCATTGATCTCAAAGATTGCTTTTACACGATCCCGTTGTCCCCTGTTGATTGCCCTCGCTTTGCTTTTAGTGTTCCAACCATTAACCTTCAAGAGCCCATGAAACGTTATCAGTGGAAAGTTCTCCCACAGGGCATGGCTAATAGCCCGACCTTATGCCAGAAATTTGTCCAACAGGCGATTCAAACCACTCGAGAACGATTTCCTGATACTCTGATTATTCACTATATGGACGATATCCTCCTTGCACATGCTGAAGAACGGCGTTTACTTGATACCTTTTCTCACATGCAACAGGCTCTTCATTCTTCAGGGCTCCAGATTGCAAGCGATAAAGTCCAGACTGCCTATCCCTACTCCTACTTGGGATTCCAGTTAAAACCCTCCCTTTTTACCCCCTCAAAAAATAACCATCAATACGTCCTCTCTCCAAACGTTACATGATTTTCAGACGTTCCTAGGTGAGTTAAATTGGTTGCGACCAGCTCTGAAATTGACTACCGGAGATCTCAAACCTTTATTTAATATCCTTAATGGAGACTCTAACCCTTCTTCCTCTAGATCCTTGACCCCGGAAGCTAAACAAGCTCTCCAGCTGGTCTCTCGAGCCCTACAGGAAGCGCAGTTGACCTACTGTGACGTCACTCGGCCCTGGCAGTTAATTATCATTCCCACCTCGCTGACACCAACAGGCGTTCTCTACCAACAGGGTGTTTTGCAATGGCTCCATGGCTCTGCCACCCCGCGGAAAGCCCTTCTTTCCTACCCTACCCTGGTGGCGGAGCGCGTTCAGCAAGGCCGTAAATTATCTGTACAAGTCCTAGGCAGAGATCCTCCCACAATTATTATCCCCTATACTGCAGAGCAATATTCTTGGTTGATGAATTTTAATGACTCCTTTGCTCTTGCTTTTGAAGGGTTTGCAGGTGAAATAGCTCATCACCTCCCGCATGACAAGATTCTACAGTTCGCGCACGTTGCCTCTTTCATTTTTCCTAAGGTTGTCGTCAGTGACCCCATCGCAGGAGCCATTTCTCTCTTCACTGACGGCTCCTCTAATGGCAGAGCATCTTTAGTTACTCCTGATAAAACTTATGTATGGTCCACCTCCTTTTCATCTGCACAGGAAGTTGAGCTCTATGCAGTGTCCCGCCGTTAGAGCTTTTTTCAGCAGGCAATCAATCTTTACACTGACAGTCAATATATCGTTCGTGCCTTATCTGTCCTTGAAACAGTCCCTCTGATCCATACTCACAACCCTACTATTTTCCAATTATTCCTTACAATTCAATCCCTCCTTCAATCTCGTTCTTCCCCTTGTTTTGTCGGACATATTCGAGGTCACTCCCGGCTCCCTGGTCCTCTTGCGCAAGGTAATCATTTTGCTGATCTTCATACACAAGTCTATCTGTCACAGGTACAGCAAGCTACGGATTCTCATGCCCTTCACCATCAATCAGCCCGCTCGTTACGATATCAATTCCGCTTGACCAGGGATGCCGCACGACAGATTGTCAAGTCATGCTCTTCCTGTGCTCCTTTATCCCCTGTTCCTCATTTTGGCGTCAACCCTAGGGGCCTTCGCCCCTAACGATCTCTGGCAGATGGATGTAACCCACCTTCCCTCCTTCGGAAAACTTCAATATTTGCATGTTACGATTGACACCTGTTCTCATTTTTTATGCGCTACACCCCTTCCCGGCGAAAACACCCGTAACGTTATTCTTCACCTCCTTTCCTGTTTTGCCATTTTAGGAACCCCTCGTGTACTGAAAACTGATAATGCTCCCGCCTATACCAGCCGTACTTTTCACAATTTTTGTCTCTCTTTTCGAATTATTCACAAAACCGGTATCCCTTATAATCCACAGGGCCAAGGGCTTGTTGAACGTGCCCATCTTACTTTGAAACACCAGCTTACTAAATTAAAAGGGGGGAGATGGTATGATCCTCGGTCCCCGAAGTTACTGTTAGCCCATTCTCTTTTCGTTTTAAATTTCCTCACTCTAGATACTGAGGGGCGCTCTGCAGCTGACCGCCATTGGAGCCCACGTATGAGTCAATACCCACAAGTTTATTGGAGAGATCCCATTGACGGGTCACGCCATGGCCCAGACCCAGTATTAGTATGGGGAAGAGGGTATGTGTGTGTTTTTCCCACAGACGCTGAGACTCCTCGTTGGCTGCCTGAACGCTGTGTTCGTCATGCCCAGGAGCAAAATTCGCAAGCTGACGAGAAGGATGGAGAAGATGTCGCTGACGACACAGCCTCGGATCAGGAGGCCGGAGAAGAAGCTGCGCCGGCTGGCGCTGTTACTTAGCCTTATCTGGCTCTTGAGGCTGTCGGTGAGCGCTGAGGTGTATTGGGCTTTCGTCCCGAACCCCCCTGTCATGCACCCAGTCACTTGGGAAGACAACGAGTTCATTCCAGTTTATGTCAACAACACCCAGGTACTGGGCACCCCTTCCGTCGGACACGTGATACCAGTGAGTGCGATGGTCAATTATTCAGGCATATCTATGACGCAGCCGCTTTGCTTCTCCACCTCTCTGGCAAACTGTACTCTTATTCAGAGGTATGAGGACTGGGACAGTGACTTTAGTAATGGGACTCACTGGGGTGTTGATATGCTGTATTTGAAACGCAACAATACCTCCGCCACGATTGGCGTAGGAACTCCCCCCTGCTGACATTCCAACTTGCAGAAGTCGGACCCCATCGCCCAGCCAATGGGGACCGGCCTGGAGGATTTGCCATCTCAATCAAACAGTTTGCGACCAAGGGGTTTGTGACTGGAGTGACTTTCGCAACGGCTCGTTGCGGCCTCAAAATCTTCTCTACGGAATTTGGACCAAAAACAATAAAACCTATCAGACTATGTTGTGGAAAGCTGTGGCCTCTCTTCAGTATATTACCGTAGCAAAGAGAGCGGTCCAGTGGATGCACATAGGAGCTCAGGACGCCATCTCTTGGTCTGGAAATCAGAAGAATGTTTCTGTGATAGCTTGTGTGCCCGACCCTTTCGCGTTCATTGCTGGAGACTTGCAGGTCTCTCATAATACTGTATATAACCTAACCTGTGATCAGTGCTATCTAACTAACTGCCTTAATTTATCTATGAATGTTAGTTCATTTGCTGTATTGAAACAACCTTCTTTTGCCTTTGTACCTGTTAACCTTTCCACCCCTTGGTATGAGGACCCTGGTTTTGCTATCATCCAAAAAGGTTAATGACTTAATGTTGGCCCGCACAAAACGGTTCGTAGGAATGCTCATTACAGGAATATCTGCCTTAATTGCCCTTATAGCTACGGCCGCCACCGCCGCCATAGCACTAACAGAAGAGGTTCAGACCGCGGACTTCGTTAACGAGCTAGCTCGTAATGTGTCTGTTGCATTTCAGACCCAAGAGGAATGGGATCGAAAAAATAGAGCAGAAGTTGAATGCTCTGTACGATACCGTAAGGGTTGTCGGAGAGGAACTGAACTCTCTCGAGGTCCGCTCCTCTCTAAAATGTCACTTCCAATACTCACATATTTGTGTTACCCCGTTTCCTTACAATTCTTCTCGATTCCCTTGGGATAAGGTGCGGAATCACCTGACGGGAATCTGGCATAATTGTAACACTTCTTTGGACCTCGCCGCCTTGCACAAAGAGATACAGGATCTAGTCAATGCCCCCCATTGGGACGTCGACATTGCTCGAGATGCCGAAAAATTCTTTAACACTTTAGCTGGTTATTTTCCCTCCATTCACCAACTCTTGTACAATTGGCTAGGAACCGGAGTCGTTGTCCTTATCTTACTGCTTTGCCTTCCGTGCATTTTGCGATATCTACTTGGGCACATCCAAAATCTATACCTCGATTTAAAAACACAAAGATTGGATTATAAAAGTCATGAGGCACCTATTGCCTTGTCTTAAACAAGAAAGGGGGAGATGTGGGGAACCAAGCCCCCAGGAAGGGGTCAAGAGTTAGGGTCCTGCATTGTGAGAATGATGCTTGGGCCTGTTCCTTGGCCTCGGGGGAGGTGACCTGACATCACCCCCGGCCTTGTTTGCTATCGGATTGTGCCCAAGAGAAGGACAGGGAGGTGCCGGAGCCTTGAGGCGATGCGTCGTGTCCTTGGAGTTAATCTAAACCAGAATGTTCGTCATGTCTCGGGATGTTCTGTACGTGACCTGGAGGGGGTGTGTAAACTTTCTTGAACAAAGACTCTCTTCGTGTAGCAAGCATTCTATTTTTTAGAACATTTCACTATATAATGACAAGAGTTTTCAATAAACTTGCCTTTTGCCACCAGAGCAACTGGTCGCTCTCTCTTTTCAGTCCGTCACTGCGCGTCTCGAACCCACTGCCTCGCTGGCCGCGGCAAAAAGACACCTTGAAACTAAGGAAAATGAAAACACAACCAAAAATCAGTAGAACACAGCAAAGGCAATCCTAAAAGGAAAAATTCATAGCATTATATGTCTATCTCAAAAAATAGGACAAATATCAAATAAACAGTCTAACTTTATACTTAAAGAAAATTGAAAAAGAACAAATTTTCCCTGGCTGGGAAAATTTGTTCGGTGGACTGAGCACCACCTTGAGAACTGAAGGGTTACTGGTTCAAATCCCACTCAGGGCAAATGACTGAGTTGCAGGCCGGGCCCCTAGTGAGGTACACGTGAGAGGCAACCCCACAGTGATGTTTCTTTCCCTCTCTTTCTCCTTCTCTTCCCATCTGTCTAAAAATAAATTAATACATTATTTTAAAAAATAAAGAACAACAAACAAAGCCCAAAAGTGCATAGAAAAAAGTAAATAATAAAAATCAGAGCCAAGGTAGTCTAAATAAAATACAAAAGATCAATGAAATCAAGAATTGATTCTTTGAAAAAGATAAACAAGATTAACAGACTTTTAACTAAACTCATCAGGAAAAAAAGAGAGAAGACACAAATAAATAAAATCAGAAATGGAAGAGAAGGAAAAACTGACATCAAAGAAATAGAAAGATTGTGTGTGTGTGTGTGTGTGTGTGTGTGTGTGTATCACATCTTTTTGTCAATAAATTGAATAACCTAGGTGAAATGATAAGTTCCTAGAAACATACAACCTTCCAAAACTGAATCAAGAAGAATAAGAGAATCTGAGTAGACCAATTTAAACTAGTGAAATTGATGCAGTAATCAAAAAACTCCCAAAAAATAAAAGTCCTGGAACAAATGCCTTCATAGATTAATTTCACCAAACATTTTGGAAAGAACTAATACCTCTGTTTCTCAAAGTATTCCAGAAATTTCAAGAAAGGGAACACTCCCAAGCTCATTTCACAAGACTAGCATTATCCTAATTCTAAAACCAGATAGACACTACAATTAAAGAAAAATTATAGACCAATATCCCTGATGAACATAGATGTTAAAATCCTCAACAAAATATTAGCAAACTGGATGCAGCAATATATTTAAAAGATCATACACCATGATCAAGTGGGATTATTTGGGGGGGTGAAAGGTTGTTACAATAGCTGCAAATCAATAAAATAATACACCACATAAACAAAGTGAAGGTTAATAAACACATGCTCATATCAGTAGATGTAGAAAAATTATTTGATAAGATCCATCATTTATTTCATGATAAAAACTCTCAGCTATGTGGGAATCAAGGAAACATACCTCAACATAATAAAGCCATTACATAACAAACCCAAAGCCAACATCAGTGAGCCAAAACTACAAGTGATTCCCTTGAGAGCAGGAACAAGACAGAAATATTTATTTTCACCACTCTTATTCAACATATGAGTTGGCAAAAAAAGCTTTTTTGATTTGTTCCATAAGATGGCTATAGTAATGCTTAGTTGTTCTTAAGTTCATTTGAAAAAAATTCTGTTAGATTGTATTGTGACAGTTGTTATATCAGCATGTGTTTTTAAAAGTTCATCAAAATTGGTGAATTTTTGTGCAGCCATTTTAATATTAAATGGAAGAAAATACACAACATTTTGGCATGTTATGCTATGTTATTTCAAGAAAGATAAAAACTCAACTGAAGCACAATAAATAAATAAATAAATAAATAAATACATTTGTGCAGCATATAGAGAAAGTGCTGTGACTGATCAAGAATGTCCAAAGTGGTTTGTGAAGTTTCTCGGTACTATTCACATTTTGGCCAAAATAATCCTTTGTTGTGGGGCTGTCTTATGTATTGGAAGATGTTTAGCAGCAACACTGGCCTCCACCCACTAGAAACCAATAGCAGGAGGTATTTGACATGTTCAAAATATCCAAATAAATGAAGTTTTCATTGAAAAAGAAAAATGTGGCTTTTATGGAAAAAATTATATGGACATTTTGGCCATGCCAATATTACTGTAAGTACCAGCCACAGAAATCAGACAAGAAGAAAAACAAGTCATCTAAATTGGAAAGGAAGAAGTAAAACTGTATTTGCAGATGACATGATACCATACATAGAGAACCCTATTGGTCTCACCAAAAATACTAAACCTGATCATATCAGTAGATGTAGAAAAAGCAGTAAATGCAGTAAATGCAGTAAATAAATGCAGTAAAGTAGCATGACACAAAATAAGTATTCAGAATATTCAGAAATCAGTTGCATTGTTATACATCAATAATTAACTATCAGAAAGGGAAACTAAGAAAACAATCACATTCATGATTCCTTCCAAAAATAAAATAAAATAAAATATGTAGGAATAAATTTAATCATGATACAAAAGAACTATATGCAGAAATTTATAAGACACTGAAAAAAGAATTTAAAGATGATACAAGTAAGTGGAAGCATATACTGCATTCATGGATAGGATTAATTAACATCATTAAAATGTCCAAACTACCCTAAACAGTCTAGGGATTCAATGCAATTCCTATTAAGATTCCAATGATACATTTCACAGCACTAGAACCTATATTCCAAAAATTTATATGGAAAAACAAAGACCCAGAAAAGCTGCAGCAATTCTGAGGAAGAAGAAAAAAGATAGAAGAACTGATATCAAACTATGCTCCAAAGCCATAGTAATAAAAACAGCATGGCACTGGAAGGAAACACACACACACACACACGCACACACACACACACATACAGATCAATGGAAAGAACAAGAGAGCCCAGAAATAAACCCATGCTTTAATTGTCAATTAATATTTGACAAAGACAAAAACTGATGATGAGGTAAAGATAGTCTATTTAATAAATGGTGTTGGAAAAATTGAATAGACATGTAAAAAAAAAGAAAACTAGACAACCTTCTTATGCCATACCCAAGAATAAACTCAATGTAGAATAAAGGCTTAAATATTACACTCAAAACCATGAAAAATTCTAGAATAAAACATAGGCAATAAACTCTTGAACATCTGTCATTGCAATGTTTATTTTATTCTTTCTCATTTCTGTTTTTTATTGTCGTTAAGGTTCAGTTGCCACCATTTTCCCACCACCACTTTTCCCCACCCCACTCTCCCCCACTTCCCACCCTCAATGCTTCTCCCCTTTGGCTTTGTCCATGGGTCCTTTATACAGGTTCCTTGACTCCCCTTCTTTTCCCCATTATCTCCTTCCCCCCTCCCCTCTGTTTACTGTCAGTTTGTTCTTTATTTCAATGTCTCTGGTTATGGTTGGCTTGCTTGTTTGTTTTGTTGATTACGTTCCACTGGTATCGCAGCATACATGAAGACTGGAGGCCAAAACTGTAGAGAATATTGAAAAATCAGACAGTAAGAAGTGCTTTGGGACAATAAGGTCCCTGGGACCAGCACAGGGACCAGGATGGCTCCAGCACCAGGTCCAGTGCCTGCTGGGTCTGCCACAGGATTCTTGGGAAAGAACAAGGTCAACAGCTCCCTCCCCTGCCAAACAAGATATTAGCAGCACCAGGATGGACCTAGATCTTGAAGTTTCTGGGGGGAATAAGGGTGAAGGGGCAAACACACAGGGGCAATGTGCACCCACTGTGACTGTGGATACAGGCTGGGAAGAGTTGGGCCGTGACAAACCCTGAACAGGTCAGTCCCTGGTCTGTTAGGAGAGTTGTGCTTTGTGAGAGGCCAAGTGCTTGTTTGGAGCAGCAGGCTTAAATAGGAGGAATTTTTCAAAGAGAAAAAGAGACACTCAGCGGCTGCTTAGGAAACTCTACTCCAGCAGCCAGCCCTGCCTCCCCCAGTACATGTGGCCTCTGCAGCTTCAGCCATGGCCAACCTCTGCTACCAGGACTGCGATTGTGCCTCTACCCCTAGCTGCAGCAGTGAATTCCCCAACAATGCATACGACCCCAGTAGCGTACCACCAACCCAACTGCCCTCCACCTGATGTGGCTGCCACTGCAGCAGTGGAGGCCAGAGCACAACTGACACTGCTGCCCAGCAACTGCACTCCTGCTGCACCAGTAGAGGCCAAGCACTCATCCACACAGCACAGGGAAGGAAACAACCTCACCCCGCTGCCCCGGCTACAAATGCCCTCAACCAAAGACCTAAGGATGGCACACACCCAACCCTGTGGCCCAGCGGGAGCCCATCCCACCCCAGCAGCAGAGGCTGGACACTCACACCCACAGCCCCTGAGACAGAGTGCACATGACCCCGCAGTCCAATGGCACCTCAAGCCTAACCCCACACCCCCAAGGGGAGGCAGTAGAGGAGACTCACACCCACATCCAGAGGCAGTCACAGTTGTGGTAGTGCCCCCACCCTGCAGGGCAAACTGGCTATCTAAGAAGAAGGTGGAGACTCCCTTGCAGAGGAGAGTAGCAAGGCTTAGGGAGTCAGCAATCTCCAGAGAGACTTAACTCAGCCAGGGGCTGAACTACCCTGAAGAGATTCTTAGAATCCCTAGCATCTGGGACAGCAAAGAGCAAGAAGGTGATGTGTTAGTTGCCCCTAATTAGTGCATCTCAAGGACAACACAACTGGTGGACTGAAGATGTAGGTCAGGCACTGGTGGGCAGAAGGGCACTGGGGGCCTGGCAGTGAACTGAGGAAATGGGCTAGAGGCTGGGCAATTGCCAAGAGTGTGGCCCAGACCTGACCCTCATCCCCGCACAACCACAGGAAGAGAGGAAAGTGAAACCAATACCCCCTCAGCCTGCTGCAGCCAAGAACACCAGCAGAACTGGCTTGGATTATTTAAAGCCAGCAGGAGGCCTCTTTTTTTTTCACTTCCTTCTTCCTTCCTTCCTTTTTTTTATTCCTTCTTCCTTTTTTTATTCCTTCTTTCTTCCTTCCTTATTTTTTTTAATTCCCAAAAGTAAGACAATAAAACCTGGAGATGTGAAAAGACCAGAGTTAGACCCAAAAAGGGGTCATCCCAACAACTGAGACAGTGAGACAAATTTCACTTTGTTACTCTAGAGAACTTGCAAGTTACTGAAAGTATTATCACTATTTTTACATCTTTTGTGTTATTAATATTTTTTATTTCTGTTCTTTCTGTTTAGTCTTCTTTTCTTAGTTTGTTAAATTGCATTGTTTGACTGGTTTCCCTTATTCTCTAATTATTAGTTTATTTTTAATTTTCCATTTTGCACTTCACTTATGTTCCAATAGCACACTACTCTAGGTTCTGTTCTTCCTATTCTTGTTACTTTGACCACATAGATTCTGTCATATGATTGTTGCTCAGTTACTATTGTAAATAATTGTTGTTCCATACACTTGTAAATACTACATAGCACCCCTCCCAAATCTTAGCTCACTTCACTTTTTCCTGAACTTTATTACTGTTGTGACTAGCTCTATTCTCTCACATACTACACCTATTTTCTATCCTTTGCTCTCAGTATAACTCATAATCTAAGCTCCCACAAGCTCACTGCTTTCTAGATCCAACTCACAAAACTTTCTTCAACTGACAAGTCTTATCTTTTTTCCACCCTTTCTAAAAAGTGGCTAGCTGAGTGAAAAATCATGGTTAACACTGTACATATGCCAAAGATCTCCTATCTCTTCTCTACAGGTTGTTACTTTGAATACCATAGAATATACTCCCACTCTCTTAAACCAATTTATCTTCCCCATTCAAGTGATCACACAAAAGTGTAGGTAGGAGCTGTGAACACCAGTATACTTGCCGGAAGAGGAAAACAACCAACAAAGAAACCACCAACAGATAAAAATGGAAGAAAGTGAAGGAGGGAGTGGAAGCCAAATTAACCTACACAGGATTGATCTGGAAATACGACTAAATAGTGGAGAAATCACTCAGAACAAACAACTGAACAAGAGCAAAAGAGAATCCTCAAAACCTTGTGCAGACAGAAGAACCAGCTTTAACACAACCTGTCTACACCTGCATAATAGAATACAAGACATGGTGGATGGAGTGACCCTCGGTTAACCAGCTGGAGGGAAGGACCCACCAGAGAAAGACCCAACAACAATCAAAACCTAAAGACATACAGAGAGCCAACATAAAGGACAGCCCAACACCAGAGAGGTGAGGAGACCTAGGAGACTGCACCACTGAATCTCACAGGGTCTTATACCATAGAAGTTCACACCATAAACCCAGAGAGTCAGAACAGATCAATTTAAGAAGCAGAGTCTCTAACAAGAAGAGTCTCACAAACAATGGGAAGACAAAGAAACAAGCCTCAAATGAAAGAAAAGGTGGAAGCCACAGAAAGAATGCTGAATGAAATAGAGGCAAGTCAACTATCAGGTATTGAGTTCAAAGCAATGGTTATCAGGAACCTCAATGAGCTCACAGAGAACCACTGACCTAGCAAATAGCTTTTGCTGGAGATTTTTTTTCTAGGAAATCCCTGCTATGAATGTGCCGTTGGAATTCCTTACACCACGGTTTCTCAGTTATGGCACTATTGATATTTTGGGTTTCTCAGACACTGTGAAATGTTAGCAGCAACCTTACCTTGCATCCACCAGATACCAGTAGTGTCCTGTCCTCTCCCACCTGTAAAAACCACCCCAAATTTTTATGAGCTACCAAAAATATCTCCAGACATTGTCATATTTCCCTTTGAGAACAAATTCACCCTGGTTGAGAATCACTCCCTTGGACACCCTTGGAAGAGAAGAACAGCCTTACAATAAAAAAGCCAAGCTTGCCAACATCTAAAACCAGTGGCAGCCTCCCATCTTCAACAGTGTGATTCCAGAGCATCTGTTGCTGTTGGGATCCCCGGGTACAGACTTTGAGATTACCATGCAGGAGGTTTATTGGGGAGTATGCATGGGAACAATTCCTGTGAGTGGTAAGGGAGGTAGGAATAGCAGGAGGGAGTTCAGCTGTGATACAGTAGAGATAGAGGACCAACAGGAAGCTATGGAGCTCAATGATCCTGCAGAGCAGTAACAGTTGAGGCAAAGGGAACAGGCTATTACCATCTCCAATTGAGAGGCCATGTGCAATGAGGCAGTTTCCTTCACTGAGACAATTCACAGAGAAAGATTGAGCCAGGGCTACCACAAGTCAACCTTGATGACATACCACAGAATCTACAACAGCATCTATTTGTCACAGGACTGGGACCTCAATATCAACAGAAAATCTCTAATTCCAGTACATGCAACCAAGTGTCATGACAGAAGATTAATGTCAAACCAGAGTTACCTAAGCACCTGAAAAGTGACACATTTATTGAATTAAATGACATGTTAACTTTTCCAAAGCTTCTTGTTCACAGACCCAGTGCTCCCTGTTATTCCTTTCTCTATTCCACCAGAGTGCTATTTGTTGTCACAAATGCATCATCTGTGAAGCTGTCCTCCCTGGGTCTCCACAAAGAGGCCAGTGTGAAAGGCTCAGCCATTGATGTTCTGGCTCTGATATGACTCTTTTCCTGAAGACCTAATTACTCAGGAAGAGAAGTTTCAGAGTGTGAATTCTAGTCTTCCTTTTATTTCTATTCAGAGTGGCAAACAACAGAATGGTAATTAGTACATGTCCTCTAGGGCTTTCAGCCTGCAAACAGCACTGTCTGTCTCTGAGCCAATCAAAACTGACTCTTCTGTTCTAGAAGTCCCATCCTTTGAAACCTATCTGCGTACCTATCCATCAAGCCATCAGCTTTTATTTATTTGGCATTCATTGAGTTCCTATACTAATTTACCTAAAAGGCTGCTCAGACTCTCTCCTTAAATCCAAGCCCTGTCATGTGACGTGGGCCCAGCCTACCACTTGACAGACTGTCTACTACACTGACAAAAACTTGTGTGAGCTGAATGTCTGCTGTGTAAAAATTGTACTCTCTAAAATCACTTATTCCAGGACTTATAATGCTAAAAGGGGTTATATTAGTAGAAATACTACATAGAAAATCTTTAAATGCTTTTAAATATGAAATATGATTCTCAGTAATCATCTTATCTGATAAAATATAAAGTTGGCATAACTCATAAAGGACAAAATGTTTTTTAAGATGTTTTTGTTTTCAGAAATTTGTCCTCCACCCAAACCTTTTATTGAGATGATAAGCTCCTATGTCTGTTCCTGACACTAGACTTTTAGTGCCTAGAGGACAGAAGCCATAATATGGTCTCTGTTCTGTCAGTGTAAGCTCAGGAGTTGGGGACTGGGGTTTCAGGGGACCATAGACTGAGACCTGAGGAAAAGAAGGGGTTCTGTTAGAACCTCACACTCACCATGGTCAAGGTGCTGTCAGAGAGCCTCAATTAAAACAAATAAAAACACTGTACTTTTGTTAGACTATGTGTCTGCTATTTCTTCCATTTATGGTTCAGAAAATAGGAACATATTTTTACTTTAGGTAAAAAAAATGATAGCCTTGTACTTCAAATCTTCTCCTCATGATAATATTGGTAGAAACTGTGGCTCTTCACCTATTTGGAATCACATACAACATTGCAAGTTTGACTTCCTTCCCTACCACCATACTCGCTGAACTTTTCAAAACTTTTATACAAGGAGATGAAAGATGGTGACGAGGTAAATGGGAGGTGAGTCCAGTTCTCCCAGTGCCCAGATGGAATACCTAGCCAATCTTCTGATGAAGAGAGTGAACAGCCAACAGAATCCCAGCTTATATGAAGTTTGGAGGCCAAAAATTGTAGAGGACATTGAAAAACAGAAGGTGAGGAGATTGCATTAGGATGCTAAGGTCCCTGGGATCTGTGCAGAGACCTAGGCTGCTGTGGTCTCTCTCCTAGAGCCTGCCACAGGATACTTGGAGGACAGTTAGATCACCAGCTCCCTCCCCTACCAGAGCAGTGAGGGCAGCCTGGCACCAAGAAAAACCTAGATGCAGGAAGTTGCTGGAGAAAATAGAGATGAAGTTGGGGACACACAGAGGCAGTATGCACCCACTGGAACTGTGGATGCTGGCTAGGTCATTACCAGAGAAACTGGAGAGCTGGGCAACACCTGGAGAAGGGAGAAGGGAGAAGAGTTGCGCCATGTCAGACCTTG